TATACTATTGTTCTAATATATAACAGGTATAATGAACATAAGTCCACTGTCAATTGTTAAAGGAAAAGAAACTTCTCATCCTTCACTTCCACACTCAAACTCTTTCACCAAGTTAGAAAGGGAAAATGGAATAACTGATTTAGGTTTCCTACAACCTTCCTTGCGTGAAGAGTCGTTTGGTAAGAAGCATCAGGAGAAGAAACCACTTCTTGAAGCTGTGGAACCAAGTATGGATCACTAATCATTGCAACAAAACTGACTATCATATGATTTGATTATAAAAAGATTGGTATCTCTATTTTCTAGATTAACACATGATTTAACATACCAACACATGAATCATGTTAAACCACATGTTAAATCACATGGTTTAACATACAATGTAGGAGTTGCTCTCATATTTTGTAATTATTTTAATTTAAAATACATTATTGTGTATATGTATATTCTCCACTATTTATGGAAGGATAAAATATGATTATATTACCAATCATCATAGCTATGTATATATGAATAACATGTTAAACTTACTGATAAGTTTTTTGCCCTGATGTTTTTCTATATCATTAACAATTCTGATCTCCAACTTAAATGTTAATACAATTCAGTATAAGAAGTTAAAATTAAATTTTTTGTGTCAAGTAATAAATATTCAGATTACTTCTTAAAAGTGGTTTTATTTACAGTCTCCTATGTTGTCCCACCAAAGCCTGACCTCACCTCAACAACTCTGAGATCATCTGTTCCACTTGATCATATTTCATACCCTGCTTTAAGTGTTAGTAGTGAAGTTTCAACACGGGTTATTAATGCTCGATCCAGATCGGGACCAGGAAGACTAACCTGTGGTTCTTCTCCTACCCAACAAGAAACTCCGGCCAGTAGTATGCTTAAATCTAGCTCTAGTATGACCTGTCCTATGTCCTTGTCCACACCCAGAAACCAACACTCTCCAGGTGAAGTGGCAACAGATCCTTCTTCTGAGTACTTCCTACCCCATTTAGGGCATGAAGACCTGGAAACCCTAGAGATTAGGATAGATGGACTGAGCAGGTTAGATGCATCAGGGCAAAAAAGGACAATTTACTGCATATAAAGTTTTAAGCTAAATATTTCTAATATGTTTGAACTTATATTTATAAGTTTATGTTGTTGTTTTTTTTAAAAAGAATGTATCATTTGCTTATAATTCACTCCTATTAGTGCAGGTTTTCACACTAGAAACATATAAACTCTACACAGGGGGGAATTAATTTTCACTCTAAGAGATGCACATTTTCATACTACAAACATGTACACCCTACAAAGTGGAAGTTAGTTTTCACTCCTAGAGGTGCACAGTTTTCATACTACAAACATGTACACCCTACAAAGTGGAAGTTAGTTTTCACTCCTAGGGA